TCCATGTTGACATGTGTAGCCATACTCTGCTCATTTCCATTGCTGTAGAGTATAAAGTATCCCATTGCATGAAGGTACACCAGTTCCTTTGTCATTTTCCTGGCTTTGGACATGTGGGTTGCTTCCAGCTTTTTTATTACAAGTCAAGCTGCTGTGAACATTCCTATTCTTGCCACCTAGTCCAAGACAGTTTGTATTGGACAGTTTGTTCCTAGGAGTTTGTATTAGTTTCCTACGGCCACTGTAAGAAATCATCACAACACTCGTGGCTTAAAACAACACATATTTATTATCTGACAGCTCTGGATGTCAGGAATCTGAATGGGTTTCACTGGGCTGAAATCAAGGTGTTGGCAGGTCATGCTCCCTCTGGAGGCTTAGGGGAGAACCCATTTCCTTGCCTTTTCTGGCTTCTAGAGGCCACCTATATTCCTTGGCCTGTGGCCCCTTCATGCATCTTCAAAGCCAGCAAATAGTGTCTCAAAAATTTCTCTGACTTGGACCCTCTGCTTCCATTGTCACACCTCTTTCTCTGATGGACTCTCCTGCCTCCCTCTTATAAGGACCCTTGTTATCCCATTGGATGGATAATCTCTCCATCTCAAGGTCCTTCACTTAATTACATCTGCAATGTTTCTTTTGCCATGGAAGGTAACATATTCACAGGTTCTGGGATTAAGATCTGGAAATCTTTGGGGGCCATTATTCTGTCTACCACAGAGGGAACAACTGAGTAGTGTGATATGAGCATCTTTGAATTACGTGTTTGTCAAACTGCTCTCCAAAGTGAATTGATTCTCTCTCTTATTAGCGGTGCATAAGCATTTCTGTCACTCCCATTTTCACCAACACTTGCTATTATCTGACTTTTTAATTTTTGTCAACCTGATGGCTATGAAATGACTGGCCTCTGACTGCTACGTGGTCAAGAAAGAGATAGCAGTCAATGGTGTCAAATGTGAAAAAGAGGGGCCTTGGCAGTAAGAATGTGGCCGATGACCTTGGCTAGAGCAGTGCCTTTAAAGTGGTGAGAGGGGGCTGAAGTCAGACAAGTCAAGGAATAAGGAGGGTGAGGAAATGGACACAGGGAGTGTAGAGTGTAGAGGGTGTGTCTTAGTCAGCTCAGACCACCACAACAAAACATCACAGACTGGGGGGTTTCAGCAACAGACTTTTCTCTCTTATAATTCTGGAGGCTGGGAAGTAGAAGATCAAGGTGCCAGCAGATTTAATTTCTGGTGAGAGCCCTCTCGCTGCACCCTCACATGGAGAAAGAACTCTGCTCTCTTTCTCTTCTAATAAGGACATTAATGCCATCATGGGGGACACAATTTCATGACCTCATCTAAATCTAATAACCTCCCAAAGGCCCCACTTTCAAACACCATCATATTATGGCTTAGGGCTTCAACATACGAATTTTGGGAGGTCACAAATATTCAGTCCATAACGGGCTACTTTTCTTTTCTTTTTTAAAAGATTTTATTTGGGAATTGGGAAAGGGGAACAGTGTTGGGGAATTGGGGAAGAGGAAGAGCCAATTTGTTGTCCTTCAGTCTTAGTTGTGGAGGGTGCAGCTAGCTCAGCTCCAAGTCTAGTCGCCATCAGGCCGCCTGTCGGCAGCTCGCAGCTGCTCAGCTCAAGGTGTCGTGTTCAGTCTTAGTTGCTGGTGGGCATAGCCCACCATCCCATGCTGGAGTCAAACCGAAAACCTTGCTGTTAGGAGCACGTGTTCTCACCAGCTGAGCCATCCTGCCACCTATTGGCAGCTCAGTGGCAGCTCAGCTTGGGTGCAGCTCACTGGCCCATGTGGGAATCGAACCGGTGACCCTGTTGCTCAGAGCTCGCGCTCTTAACCAACTGAGCCACTCGGCTGGCCCACGGGCTACTTTCAAAATATTGGGATGTGTGTGAAAGGGAGGTATCAGTCTGAAGGCAGAAAAAGAGAGATATAACTGATGGAGTGGAGCAAGTGGCAGCTGGGTTGACTTTGGAAGGAGGAGAAGCTGCCTTTCCTGGAGGTGGGAGAAAAAGAAGGGCACTGAGGCAGATACAGAGAAAATACAAAGAGGTAAGGCAGAAGGTGGCAGAAGCTTCTCCCTGTGATGGGCAGTGGAGTTATCTACTGAGACAGGCAGGAGTGGGTCTGGGGGTCTGAGGAGTTGGGGAAGGTTTACAGAGGACATTGCTGTGGAATATTCAACAGGGTGCTCACTCAGCTGAACAAAGGGGAATTGCTGAGAAAGTGGGGACGAGGTGAGGCAGGAGCCTCCCAACAGGTTGTATCAGCATCTCTTAGGGTGAAGAAGCCTGGTCAGAGTGGGAGGCGCCAAAGTAGGGCCACGTAGGAGGACTTGCCTAAGAGACCCCTGGAAGCTTAGTGGAAATGGTGGGTCCTGAGGAGGCAGAGCAGAACCAGGGAGATCATAGCCAGGGAATTGGGAAGTGGGGAGGGGCTCCTGATAATGCCCAGGACCATGGGAGAGCAGAGGAGAGGGGCACACAACTCAGCCTGGGTAGGTGGAGAGGGTTTCCTGGAGGTGGTGATGTTCTAGCTGTCTTGAAAGGGGAAACCAAATTTTGGTTATCATAAAAATGTGGAAGAAGTGTTAGCTTTATAATCTGTCAACAAGCCTGTCCTGCCCCACTCCATCAGTTTTGTCTCTCTTTCTCACATCTGCCCGGAGTGCCCTGGCTGGATTGGAAGAGTCCTTGTTAGGCTATTTCAGCCCCTATGCCTTGGCTTCTGGTTTTCTCTTTGGTTTAATCATTTTCTTCTATAACTTCAGAACTTCTACTCATCCTTCAAAACCCAACTCAAATGTCACCTCCTGTGGTGAGCCTTTCTGATTGTTCTGGTCCCACCTCTGTGCTTTCTTAGCAGTGTGGTGAAGTGGAACAAGCTCACTCATTACTGTTTGATTTTAGACAAGTGATCTCTGAGTGCCTGTTTTCTGACAATGGTACTGGCCGAGCCTAACTTAACTGTTAAGGTACATGACATCCTCTGGCATCACATGGGAATCCCATAAGAAGCCATAGTGTGGTGACACCTGACATTCTGTCCTGCACTAGAGTAAGCTAAGGAGAACGTGACTCTGTCTGCCTAATTCCATGAGTTCCCCGAGAGCAGAAATAATACCCCCACAGGACCTAGCCTAGTGCCCAGCACAGACAAGCATCATGTGCTCTGTGGATCCTGCACAGAAGGGAAGAACTGAGATTGCCTATCATTTACCTGTAATGTGAGTTTGGAGAGATGACATCATCTCTATGAATCTGTTTCCTCATCTGTAAAACAACATATTAGGTGTTCATTTACTACAAGTAAGGCACTCAACATTCACTGTCTCTTATCCTCACATTGTATATCGTCACCCCATTTTACAGAAGAGAAAACTGAGCCTTGGGGAGGTGACTGATTTGTCCAAGTTAGCCATAGGGCAAGAGTTGCTGGCGCCCAGCCAAACTCTGAAAATTGTTCCGCAAATCCAAGGGGGAAATGTGAAATAGCCCTGCAAATTGTAAATGCCTGGGGTGGGAGAGTCCATGCCTGGGGGCGTGGTGAATGATGGCTGAGAGAAGGAGCGCAGAGAGAGGCGGCCTCAGATTATCCCGAAGGCGGCGGGAGGACTGGTTTGCCGAAGGATACGCTGATGCCCGAGGCGCAGCGCAGCGCTCCTCTGCTTGGGTGGGTAGGGGTGCGGCTCGCCCCCTCCCCGCCCCACCCCCAGCTCCCACGCCGCGGCCCCTTTAAGAGCGGGCGAGGCGCCCTCTGGCGGCGGAGCGGCGAGCGCGGCCGAAGCCGGAGCCGGATCCCGGAGCCGGAGCGGAGCGGAGCGGAGCCG